TGCTTTTTGTTTTGTTATGTCCGATAAATTTTTATAAATCTAAAAGTTATCTAATTTTTCGTATATTTTATAATTTACACGAATATTGAAGATCAACTTTATATTTAAAATATATTGAAACAAATAATATTTGCATATGTTTTGATCAATTTACAAATAAAATTTTTAAAACTAATAGCACTAAAATATGTTTGATCAAAATTATTCAACTTTATTACATTTATGTACAATGCATATTATTTTTATATGTTTATAGATATTAGAAACTATATGTTTTGTAAAAAACGTGTAAATGTTAAAAAATTATATATACTAAAATCGATTAATCAATTTATTCAATCATTTAATCTTGCGTTTGACGCATGATGATAAAAGCTAGTTATATTTTATTTTTAAACAATCACTTGAATCTTGTGAGTTGATCCATGTTTATATTTTCTTTAAAGTTAATGCATTATATTAAAATTAAAGGTGAAACAAAAATTTAGTGGTCTTTTACTAAATTTTAATTTTAATAGTCCAAATTAGCCCATTTGCATACATTAGATGAATTGACCATTGTTTTTTTCTGTTTTTGTTAGTCAACGAATTAAACCCTAATCATTTAATGGATGTAGTTTTGTGAGATTAATTTTAGTAGGCATAATTTTAGTGGGTTAAATTAGTGGGATAAATGTTTTCATAAATTTTACCATGTCACATTTTAGAGAATGTCATGTCACAATAAATTTTGGGAGAATGATTTTAGAAAAGACACATAAGCTTTTTAAAAAAAAAATCACTTCCCAACTAGGAATGTATAAGAGATTAAATGATTATTCGTTTTTATTTTTAATGGCAATACATCTATATGCTTTCAAAATCTACAATTTTGTTTGTTTATTTGCATGCGGTCAATACAAAGATATTGAGAGAATTGACAAAATTTTGTAGTAGAGAGTATCAGTCGGGATCTGAGTGAAGGGATTCCTCGCCAAAATTCTTCTATTTGATCACCTCTTAAGCTAATATTTTTTTTCTTTCATACTCTCGGTGAATCCTTATTTTGGAATCAACTTATCTTTAGTCTCTCTGTAACATTTTCGCAACATAACAGAAAAGATGAAGAGTTTGGTTGAGATTTACAAGGGAACGTGAGAGAGTTTGTGGAAGTTTCGGAGCCAACGTCCATCGCGTCGTCGCCTCCCAAAATCTCTGATATTTGACTCACTGTTTATGTTGACTACAAGCCTAACCAGGTAATTAAAGTTTAGAAAATGTAATTAACGTTATGTACATGTAAAAAAAAAGATTTGCATCGTTTAGAAATTGTGTCTTGGTTTTTTAGAAACTCTTAGGAAGTTGTAAAGTATAAATTTTTATAATACAGTTATTAAGTATATAAATTAAAAATATTATTTGATTTGGATACATTAAAAATGTTTTTTGGTTCAACTTCGATTTAATTTATTTGGTATAAAAAAGTAATAGAGTTGAGCGGATTATAAACATAAGTTTTTTTTTTTTTAAATAACTACAAAGTTTTTTTTTGGTTACAAAATTTTACCTAAGATCATGGTTTTGATTTGGTTTATAAGTCTACTAGAATCCGCTCATGCATCCCCTAAACCGCGTAACATCCACTTAAAACGCTATTAGACACTCAAATTTTTGTAAATCGTCTAAACCATCGTAAAACATAAAATCTACTTTTGGCTACCCCGTAGTGTCCAACGGCAGAAAAATAGTCACCCTGACCAGGTTTTAGAGCACTGCTCTCTACATCATTCTACTTGGTCCAATTTCTTAGATGGAAGAAAAATATAACAATTTGTTTGTTTTTGTTTTAAAAAATTTGGCCAACTCAGAAATGTAGAGGAATGAGAGATTCATTATTCACTTAACAATAAAACATTTTATATTTTATCCCATTTATTTTCATTATATTCATAATTATTCATCCTTATAAATAAAAATAAATTATACATGAAATTCATCTAAGAAAATCGTATACTATTCCAAAAAATACAGAAACTTACGGAATGGGATTGTTAACTTATGAATATGGGATCTTAGTGCAATTTCAAATAAGAATGATTATTCAATTAATGGTAGCTAAATACGTGATTTTCATTTGTGTGGTAAAGGAATAGAAGCCAGGAAAAAAGAGGGAAGTATACAACACCACCAACATCAAAAGCAATAATGTAGGAAGTAGGAACAAAGAGCCAGGTTTGCTGCATCAATGAGTGTTTTTGGTTTGGTTGCAACTATGTATTTCCTTACGTTTTAATGCATATTTTAATTCATTTCAACTTTGAACCGACCTATTCTACGTGATTCTCTTCTTTCTTTTATTATTCGACCAATTCTACGTACAACTTCGAAAATACGTACATTTGACTGTGTCACCCACTTGTATTTGAATACTTTTATTTAAGTTCGTTTTTCTTTTCTGGCTATGACATCAAGAATTGAATCCAAATAAATTAGAACATTATACTAATTTGCAAGGCGCGAGTACCTCACGATTTGAAGAGAGGAAATTTTTAGTACTTCAAGTTTGAAAAGTGTCATTATACTTGAGAAACATTTGAATAATTAATTTTAATATGACTATTTTTGTTATACTTTTGCTTTTTAAAGTCTTTATAATGAATCATTCATTGGAAAGTGATTTTTAGTAATATACGAAGGATAATAAAGCTTGTAATTTTTTTTGTTTTTGACCTGCATAATCAGACGACAAGTCTTTCAAAAAAAATTAATAACGAAATGATTCAAGAAAAAAAAATCAGACAAAAAAACTAGAAAAATATAGAAACCGACCGGCATAGATCACCGCATGATGTTACATTGTGTTTTGACCATATCTTATAAAACTTGTGGGAAAAAAAAATCATGAGAACTTGTAAGGGAGAATTTATACATCGCCGGCCAAACGAGAATCAAGTCTCACACGTCTGACTCAGAAGATACAATCAATAAAAAATATTTAATATAGAACGTCCTGTTGGTGCAATTTCTTCGACAACAAATCTGTCTAATGGCACATCTAATACAATATTACTAAAACCTTTGCCCTATATGTTTTTTTTTTTCAGTTTGAGAGAAATTAGATTATTTGTTTTGGAGACTACTTGATGCCGAGAACTGACAAAAAGAACCGTAGATCATTTAATTCTTATGGAAAACGAAAAATGAAGGTTCATAATATAATCAGTAAGTACCTTCCAGATATTTAAAACATGCGACGAATGATGTTACATTATCAAAGCTTTTTCCCTTTCACATGAAGTTAGAAGCTTTGATTTCGGGATGAAATTCATGTTGTTGCATTAGGAGATAGCCGATTTGCTTCTGACAAATTGTTTAGAGTTAATAAAGACGACGACATATCTTGCTAGCATATTTTTTAGATCTGCAAGCCCGTATCTGCTCTTTTATTTTTATTTTATTTTGTATTTCGTTCTTTTGTGTATTAATTGTAAAACTAGACTATCCAACGCATAGTCTATATATGCGGTAAGGTATCAGTTTAATTCATATTAGAAGGTGTGTTGAGAAAAAAAACATGTTCATTTTTTTAGAAAAGAGGCAACATCTCAATCCACGAAAGTATACAGATTAAAACCCTAATTTTGTTAATGGGTTTTAGTAGATAAAACTTATTCAAATTTTGATCAAGCTTAGCATTTATTAGAGTTTCATTATTTTACTTAGGGACCAAAAAATGAATGCTACACAAATTTGTTTTTTTCATCATTTCTTTGGCTTTTTTTTGTTTGCAAACTTTAATTTAATCATATTATAGTGCTTACTGAATTTCTGATAAAAAGTGCCATATTTTGTAAAATCGTCTACAACACTTATAAGGTTAGGCAAGATTCCACGTTTTCTCCCTTTCTTCCTACTACAATCTTCCTAAATTTAAAACCAACTAGCATATCGCTTCTTGTAGCAAAACGTCTTTAGACATCACACATCAACATTAACAAATACGGATACTAACGAACTCTGTACAAATATCTATTAAATTCGAATTGACCTATGAGAAATATGACTTTTCGAATTTTATTGTTTCGAGAAAATAGAAGGGCTGGTACATGTTGCTTGATTTGAATCGTTTGTACAAAAGTGGTTATCACGTCTCAGACACAAAATTTAGTTTTATTTCCTTAAATAAATCAACAAAATTGAACTAGCGTGTACTACTGTATATATTTTTGACGACGTATTCCTTAATATTTTCAAAACAAATCAAATGCGAAGAACGGATATATAGAAAGTCGTAGTATTTGGTCAACATCGTAAAGAAAGAACAAAGATAAATAAATAAAATGCGACTTGGTTTTTTTAATACTTTGATTTCACTATTAAACTTTTGGTTGGGCTCATAGTTGCTTGTATTTTATTTTCTGGTCAAAGTTGATTTAATCAACTTTTGTTATTAAAAAGAAGTTACCTTCTGTTTTTAATTTCTAATATCAACTATGTACATTCCTAGACTCCTCTATATATATATATGATAATGTACTTTTGACAAGTCACAGACGAAAAGAAAAACAGCTACGTAATAGTTATTCAAAATAGAAATAAAGACTAAACCTTTCTTTTTGCCGGCGTTATATCATAAAATGGCTTACACTAACAAAGTCTCCGCGGCCGCAGCGGTTACAACAGCGGTGCTATTTTTAATGCTTACGATCTCTCCTCGGTGGACCCAGGCACAACAATTGCCGTCAATGCCAAAGATAAATCCAGTGTGCGCATTCATGGATGTCCCTAAAACCGTCCAACTTTGCTACTTATCGGGGAATGTGGTGCCATCTGAGGAATGCTGCAACGATCTCAAATCCGCGAGCACAACAAAAGTGACTTGTCTCTGTGACAATTTCATTACGCTTCCTTCTAACTCCAATTTCACTGGAGCTCTCTTCAACATAGTCCACGCCACCTGTGGCGTTGCTGACAAAATGGCCTGTAAAGGTACCTACTTTAATCTTGTATCTAGTTATGCATGATATAATATAACTAGAAGAGTCGTTACTTTTAGTATATAGTTTTCATAACCTACATTAGTTATAACAATCACAATTATGATTGAACGTAACTTCAAGATCATCGCTGTTCAATCATGATTATGTTATTCCACCGTTTTGCATTAATTGCTAAATGATCATGTCAATTTATTTTTGTAGATTTAATCTCTCTTTCTTTCATGGGTTGTCATTTTGTATTGTTCAAAGTATGATATATATATACACTTTATTATGTTTTCAGTAAAAAAAAATTAGAGACATGTACCGATTATGCATGATTGTTGATGATTATGCATGTTATTATATAAACTTATGCTGCTATGCATATCAATTAGAACGTCCGTCAAGAATACGATTATCATTTTTTTTATATGAGTTAGAATGCAACTAATAAGGCCATAATATGTTCCCTTAATTGTTGATTATATATATGAAAAAGTTTCAAAAATTTATTAGAATCTACGATAAAAACAAGACGAGATTGTGGATCTATAGATTTTTTAGATTCTCAGTGCAATTTAAAACAAGATTTTTAGTAATTTTATCGTAATTCACTGATTTTGGCTTTGTGTGTGGCAAAGGATCAGGAGGCGCCAACGGAGGAGCAACGAACAAGATTGCTGCATCAATGGGTCTATTTGGTTTGGTTGCAAGTTTGTTCTTTTAATTCATTTCAATTGTACCTACCAAATTATATGTATTTCTTCCTGTTTTCATCCAAATCTGACAACTCGAAACTTATTTATTTAGTTGATTGTATATGTAAAAAATTGTTTTGAAATTATCGTATTTTACTCAAAAATATGTTATAAACGAAACCATTATCAAATTATTTGTTTTCATATCCCTTTTACGTACTTTAATGTTTGATTAAACATTTGCAATATAATTGTGCTTATTCTTTTAGAAAAGAGGCAACAGGTTGATCCCACAAAAGTATTCAAATTAAAACACGAATTTTGTCAATGGTTTAAATTATCAATAAATCACTAGGTATAAACATGTCCAAGTTAAGGGATTTTATAAAAAGATTGATCATGTAGCATTTAGAGTTTTCTTTCTTTTGCTCTTAGGGACCAAAAAAATGAAAACAGGACATGAAATTTTCATCATTTCACTAGTATATTTTTCTCCTTCCATATTTTAGTTTTATCATTCATATTGCAGATTTAATTTCTTATAAACAGTGCCATATTATCATCAAGTATTAGGCATGTCAGAACTGAAGGTAGCTATAGAATGCTTGAAGATATTGAATAAAGTCTTTTATGCATAGATAGTATAACTATTTATTCTTACAAACCATATGAGATCACTTGTTTCTCTAAACCTTTTCTTTTTCATCCATTTTCTCATAGATCATGCTTGTAGATTCTTATAAACTCTTCATAAATATGTTTGACCTCTCTCTTTCAAAGAAATCCAAATTTCTTATGTTTTTCACGGGTTTTCTTTACCTTTTTTATGTGACTCGATCTGCAGTTGTAGAACTCTCCAAATGTGCTTCTAACAAATTCCTTTCTGATTTCCATAGTTGGGTGAATATTTGTAGAGTTTTCCAAATCCTCTCTCATAGGCACCTTCTTTCTATCCCTAAAGCAAAATTATCCATTGTCTTAGCTTTGAGCCAATCCCTTCTCATTTTCTTTGATAGTTCTGTCCAAATTTACCATAATAAGTTTAATAACCTATTTGTTTCTAGCTCATGATTTCCAAACTTACATTAGGTTTGAATTGGGCTTGTCCTATGTTTGATATCTTGGGCTTCAACATAATAGACTGGTGAATAACAACTTAAATTTTAATAAATTGTATTGTTTAAGTAAAATAGAATGGTAATTGTTATATATTCGATTTGCATCGGCTGTACGAGAGTGGTTCTCACGTCTCGGACACATTTCTCCCGCACAATAAACTATGGCCAGCTAGCAGATCTTTCTGATACAAGACATTCTCAGATATATTTGAGTTTCTGGTTGTAGTAAGTGTATTCGATTTTTTTTTCTTTTTGTATCTTAAACTATAACACGCACATTGGCTTTAAATCGGACTATGATATTTTCGAGTCTTTTTATAATTATATATTCTGATAGATATCAAACTGCGAGGAACAGCTATAGAAAGTTGTAGCCTACGACTCGTTTGGTTTAAGGCCAGCACTATAAAACAAGAACAACTTTATATATACATACATATATGATTAGCGATATTCCTAGATCGCATACGAAAAAAAAACCGAGCTTCATTCAGAAAAAAAAAACCTTTGTTTTTGTCGGCCTTAAACCATAAAATGGCTTACACTAACAAAGTTCCCGTGGCGGCAATGGTTGCAACAACGGTGTTGTTTCTAGCAGTTACGATGGCTCCTCAATGGACAGAGGCACAACCAGAGCCAAATTTTGATCCAGTGTGCCTTTCGGTTATCCCTGACATTGTAGAAATTTGCTACACAAAGTTCAATTTGGTGCCATCTGAAGAATGCTGCAAGACTCTCAAATCCGCAAGCAACTCGCAAGTGACTTGTGTCTGCGACCATTTCATTGCACATCCTTCTACCACCAACCTTACCCGATCTCACTACGACGAAATCAACACCGCTTGTGGTGCGATCGACAAATTCGCATGTAAAGGTATACATACACATATATATACTTGAATCTTTTTTTGTTGTTTAGTTACGCATGTTATTATATGACATCTAATCTCTTTCTATGATTTTGTATTTTTTGTTGATAGTATTTTGAAACTGATTAATTATGCTACTAATATAAATATTTCATAATTTATATTATTGACAAAATGTTATCTGTAATTATTAAATAACAGTTACAGCTTCTACAGTTTGTATAACCAAACAGACTTCTACTTATATTTAAAGTAACAGTTACAATATTTACAGCCAAAATCTCTATATCCAAAAGTCTACAGCCAAAATTCTACAGCAAAAATCTACAGTTACAAATTTAAAAGACACTTACCAAACACCCCCTAATCTCTTTTTTAGTGGTTTAATTGCCTGTCATTTAGTATTATTTAACGTAAGAACCGATATTTATTTGAGTTATATTAGTTTTGAATAGAAAAATTTAGAGATATACTATTGATATGGTCCTTACAGATACGATAGAGAAATTCTTTAAAATACCATTAATTGAAATTTTTGTTCCAAAAATATATACCATCACAGAAAAAAATTTCTAAAAATACCACATAATTTATGTTTATAATACTAAATTTTATCTTTCAATTTTTTTTTTTTTTGACAAAACATACTTATATTAATCTTAAATAGCGATTATAATTCAAAAAACTCGAGAATTCCTTGCCAAAGAGGCCGAAGATAAAGCATAATTGGAATCAGACCATGATAAAGATTATATAGACGGTTACAAATATAAATTATAACTAGAAACTCTTTTGAAGGAGCTAGTTCTTTGGCCATTAAAGATTAAATGTTAAAGGTTTTAAACATAAAATGATTTTCTGTATTCTGATGGCACTTAATTGATTTTGGTTTTTGTGTGGCAAAGGAGGAGGCACCAACGGAGGAGGAAGCAACAACGGAGGAGGTACCAACGGCGGAAGCACCAATGGAGGAATCACAAAAGGAGGCACCAACGGAGGAGCAACGAACAAGATTGCTGCAACAATGAGTCTATTTGGTTTGGTTGCAAGCCTGTTTTTTTAATTCATAAAAATTTGGGCCTACCAACCATGTAACTTCCCTTTTCCTTCCAAATCTGTCAATTTGAAACTTATACATTTTTAGCTGATTGCATTTGTAACGGATTTTTTTAACAACAATCTACTTTCATTCATTAGAAGAAATAGGTCATCATGTAGTATTGATACAAGGAAATGAGGGACATAAAAGTAAGTAGCAAAAGATGAAGATTGATCTAATTACTTTGTGAGACGATCAACCGCTTGATTTTTTTGTCGAGGAACCTAATTCACCGATGTATTCAAAAGCTTCGTTTGCCAATGTTGGCTATCACAAATTCAATTATGCAATCCAAAATTATCCTCAACACCATTGACCAGTCTTGTGATCATTTTACTGTCTCCTTCGAAAATCACCTTTTGAAATCCCTGAATCGAAACGTATTGGATGGCCATCAGAAGAGCTTGTAGTTCTGCTTCAAATACTGATTCGCACACTCTTCCTACACTATGATAGGCTCAACATAGAAATT